ACTGCAAGCTCCGCCTCCCGGGTTTACGCCATTCTCCTGCCTCAGCCTCCCGAGCAGCTGGGACTACAGGCGCCCGCCACCTCGCCCGGCTAGTTTTTTTGTATTTTTTAGTAGAGACGGGGTTTCACCGTGTTAGCCAGGATGGTCTCTATCTCCTGACCTTGTGATCCGCCCGCCTCGGCCTCCCAAAGTGCTGGGATTACAGGCTTGAGCCACCGCGCCCGGCCTTATTTGCCTTTTGTGTTTACTTTGGGAATAACCTGTTTGTTTCCATCCATTGACTATTTTAGGGGTGTATGTTTTTATATTTTCTTAGAAAACAATGAAGACTTTTCATATATCCATTGCAACACCATTTATTATGGTCCTTTCCTCTCTAGCTAAAATTGCTACCTTTATATGATGTTCCTCTATGCCCTTCAGTCTGTTCCTGATCCAGATCTATTCTGGTACCAGTTTTGTCTAATTATTTAGAAGATTCCTGATTTGGAATCTGTGTGTCTGTCATTACCCTTAGACCTGTCTTAATCACAGCTCCTACCTTATGGGCTTTCGTTGAGCAATACCTGAGTTAGAAAATAATGTAGAGAGTGCTTTGCACAGGGCCTGGCACTCAGGACGTGCTCAGTACATGTTAGATCTTGTGAACATTTCGATTAGTATCTGTCTTATCCTGCAGCCTCTTGACCCAGACACAAGTCCCGGATATGTGGCAGCTTTCAGCTCCCCTGCACCTCCTACCAAGTCTTTTCCTAGCAGAGTCATTGTATTTCCATTACTGTTCCTCAGGCGATAGGGGGTCAAGCCCTGTACCCTTGGATCTGGGCCAAAGGATGGAATCATTCCCTATATATGGACACTGGACTGTTTCTCTGCCAGGGTCACACACATTTATTTGTGTGCTCCCTCTACTGAATCTGGAGTGTGGGCTTTCCTGGTAGGCCATCCGCCATGCTCCCTCTGCTGCCATCACCATGCAACCACTAATGGCGTTTCCAGGGACGGGGCTATGCAACTGACTTGGAAACAAGCAGCTGGCAAACCCCCTCTTCTGCCCTCAGCCTGCTTTTCCTGGCTTCTTCACAAATCATTAAGATGGGTTTTACTCCCTACTCTTCTTTTCCATTGCCTCATTACCTGTCATAAATTTGGGCCTACATAATCTCCTCTGTCTTTACTGTCACTTGTGCTTAGTAAAAATTGGCCTCAGATCCCCTCTGCTCCTTCTCTTTCCCCAATTTATTTATTTATTTATTTATTTATTTATTTATTTATTTAATTTTATTTGAGATGGAGTTTCACTCTGTTGCCTAGACCGGAGTGTAGTGGCACAATCTTGGCTCATTGCAACCTCCACCTCCTGGGTTCAAGGGATTCTCCTGTGTCAGCCTCCAGAGTAACTGGGATTATAGGTGTGCGCTACCACGCCTGGCTAATTTTTGTATTTTTAGTAGAGATGGGGTTTCATCATATTGGCCAGGCTGGTCTCGAACTCCTGACCTCAGGTGATCCGCCTGCCTTGGCGTCCCAAAGTGCTGGGATTACAGGAGTGAGCCACCACGCCTGGCCCCCAATATTTCTTTTCTCTCTCTCTATATATATTTGGTTCAGTTCTTTTTTCAGATATGTGCATATCAACTATTAGATGAAAGCTCTTCTGACCACTTGCTGGGGAGAAGAGACGATGAGGCACAAAGGGTCTCAGGAAAGGTTGCAACTTGCCCCAGGTCACAAAGCTAGTTGTTAGCATGGACAAAGCTGGTGTGTTTATCTTGGGGTTTGTTTCCTGAGCTTTTACTGGCAGGGAGGTAGACTTAGTGCTTGGTGTATTTGCAGGGGAGGGGAGAGGAGTGCTGCAGATTCAGTTCCAGAACTCTCCCCTTGCCCAGCAGACCCGCTTACGAGAGCTGCCCAGAACTAAGCTCTAGATGAGCCTGGAGCACTCTTGGGGTCCGTGGGGCTTCGACCCCTTGTTACACTGAGGCCCAGAGGAGAGTGACTGCCCAAACCCAAGAAAGCAGCTGCCATCCTCTCTTCCTCTGATCTTGCCGTAGTGAAATTTCTTTTATCAAAAGTCAATCTGCGACCTGGGTGGATTTGACCCCAGCTGCAATTTTTAAAAGTTAGATATCCCAGATTCCATGGCCATGGGTAAGACTGGAGCCTGCTCAGGAGCTCCCTTTTCTCTTTTGACTTGCTCCATGGGATCCGGCATAGCCACTGCCCAGCCCTCCCTCAAGTTCCAGCCTGTGGGACCCTGGTTTTCCCAACCTTGAGAATTGTAAATTGTCACTGTATTTGTCTTATTCCAGCCTTTCAGGCCTGATAACTTGGCTCCCCTAGCACCCAAAGTCATATACATGCCTGGGCTTGTTACTCTGCCTCGCTTCCTTTTCTGAGTCATGGTAGCAAATAGATTGAGAATCAGAAATGAGCCATCATTTGTAATTTCCAAATGGTAGGCGTGGCTGCTGCCTTAGAACCCTCTGTTGACTTCAGTTCAGTACACTTCTTGTGTCGTGCTGGTCCTGTGCTGGGGGTAGAAGTAGAGATGAGGGAGGCACTACCCCTTCTGGTAGATGCAGCCCTACAGGTTCCAGCCTGGTGGGAGGAGCGCTGGCAGGACTTGTCCCCCTACTGGCCTCCTCTGCTGCGTGCTCTCGCTCAGGGCATAACTGGTTCAAACATTCTCATTACGGTATTGGCGACACAAGGAGAGAGTATTGGCTAAGGAAAAAGGCAGGGCAGAAGTCACGAAGGAGGAAGCTTTTGATTTCAGGCACTGTGCGAAGTGCTGGTATTTCCCTCTCAATGGGACCTGTGAGAGAGGTAGGCACTCTAAAATATCCCATTTTTGAAGATGAGGTGAGGCTGAGGTTCACGCCTGTAATCCCAGCACCTTGGGAGGCCGAGGCGGGTGGATCATTTGAAGTCAGGAGTTTGCGACCAGCCTGACCAACATGTTGAAACCCCATCTCTACTAAAAATACAAAAACATTAGCTAGGCATGGTAGCTCATGACTGTAATCTCAGCTACTCAGGAGGCTAAGACAGGAGAATCGCTTGAACCCAGGAAGCAGAGTTTGGAGTGAGCCAAAATCACACCACTATACGCCAGCCTGGGTGACAGAGTGAGACTCTGTCTCAAAAAAAAAAAAAAAAAGGTAAGGGGATGGCCACTGAGAGAGATTAAGCAACTCACCCAAGGGGACAATAAAACTAGGAAGTGGCAGAACTAGCATTCCAACCTAGGCCCTCTGACTTTTCCTAGGCAGCGGGGTAGAAGCAGGTTTGATGAGAGAGAGGAGGGCTGAGAGGGTGCTGTGTGGCCAGTGGTGGAGATAATGGGTATGTCTTAGCAGCAGATGAGGCCAGTGAGAGGAGCAATTTGAATTTGTCCACTCAGAACACAGGATGTGCTGACTTCTTTGTTCTTTCTGGGCCTGGAGGAAGGCAGGAAGGCAGCTAGTATCTCGACATCTGGGGCATCTGGAAGACTTGAGTCTGTGGCCTGGGAACCAGCCTGAGCCCAGCAGCCTCTGAGGATATAAGTGCCCATCCAGGATTTATCTCTTAGAAACAGAGCCCCAAATAAAGTGAGCCTAGAGGCTGGGATTCCTAGAATATTAGAATGTCAGAGCTGAAAGGGATCCTAAAAATGTGATTTCTTGCCATAACGCCGATAAGGAATCAGATATTTGAGAAAGCTAATTTCCTAGTACTCTTTCCTTAGAATTTTACCTTGATACCTTTGGTGGGTGATGGACATGGTTCTAAAGGACAACTCATTTGACACTAGAGGCAACTAATAACATGGTGACTGTTCAGCACGTGCCCGGCACAACTGGGACATCCACCATGAAATTCTGGCCACTTCCTCCTGGTCAGCTTCAACCTCCAAAACGGGAGCAAAGTCACGACAGCATGGAGGTGTGAAGTGTGCTCTAGAGCTTCTCACCCAGCTCGACTCCAGGCACAAGAGTCTTTTGTAGCTTTCCCAGCTGAGTCAGGGAGCCCCCTACTCCTTGCGGTAGCTCCATCTGTTGTAGCCTAGCTACAATTTTATACCAGTCCCAAGGTGATCTTTCTATACATTCCTGTTGTTCTTCATTCTGTCTTCTGTGGCTGTAGAGAGAAAATGTGACCCAGGAGCAGCCAGTTGGGTTCATTTTGGTAACCAACTCATCAGTTGGTAGTAACTACCTGAAGTCCTATGCAGAAAAGGATTCTGGGGCCAAGACTGGGCTCAGAAGGGAAGCCCAGGAAACAATGCCACAGTTAACCAATTAGCAGTTAGATGACAAGTGCATTTCAATGCAAGTGTTAGAGTCAATCAATGGGTAGTGACCACCTAAATAATTCTAAGACTATGGACTGGTCATGATGGCTCACACCTATAATCCCAGCACTTTGGGAGTCCTGTAATCCCAGCACTTTGGGAGGCGAGGTGGAAGGATTGCTTGAGGCCAGGAGTTCCAGACCAGCCTGGGCAACAAAGTGAGACCCCATCTCTACAAAAAATACAGAGTGAGCTGGGTGTGGTGGCATGTGCCTGCCTGTGTTTCCCAACTACATGGGAGGCTGAGGCAGGAGGATCAGCTGAGCCCAGGAGGTTGAGGCTGCAGTGAGTGCAGTGAGCCATGATACAAAAAAAAAGGAATCCTAAGTCTATGTATAGTTCAGTGTAGGGGGAAAATTCACATTTGATTATTAATGTCTGCCATGGGCACAATAATACACTATACTCACACATGGGCCACAGTGTTGCCATTCCTGGAACAGACTGTCTCTAAGATCTCATCCAGTTAAAAATTCTTTGATTAAACTATATTGCTGCTTTTTTGAAGAGACAGAAGAGCTGGTATGTTTGCCCTAGAATTTATACTTATAACCTTTTTCAAACCTTTTTTTTTTTTTTTTTACCAGGTGGAGTTAGTTCTGGAGAAGGAAGTGGCTGGCCTCTGGATCAAGATCCCATGCACAGACTACATTGGCAGCTGTACCTTTGAAGACTTCTGTGATGTACTTGACATGTTAATTCCTACTGGGGAGCCCTGCCCAGAGCCCCTGCGTACCTATGGGCTTCCTTGCCACTGTCCCTTCAAAGAAGTAAGTACTTAGGGAGGAGAGAGCGTTACCCCTGTGGCTAAAGAGATGGGGTTTGGAGAGAAGGGTCTTTGCATTCTCCTCCTGCAGATCTGCATGTCTCTGGATTTGTAAGCCAGTGTGACCTATCAGGAATCACTTATCTTTCGGGAGCCTCAGTTATCCATCTATGAAATGGGAGACTTGAACTTAGACGTGATCTTCAGGGCCCTTTTCCCATAATAATCCATGCTGTACAGTGCTATGGCAGTCTGTAATCTTGTGTGGTGGTTTTGAGAATGGGAAGAGGGGTGGTAGTTCATGGCTACAATCCTAGCAGTGGCTCTAGGAGAAAGACCCCATCAGTAGGCTCCCACTGACTGGCTGTCCACTGGCTTTCCCACAGGGAACCTACTCACTGCCCAAGAGCGAATTCGTTGTGCCTCACCTGGAGCTGCCCAGTTGGCTCACCACTGGGAACTACCGCATAGAGAGCATCCTGAGCAACCGTGGGAAGCGTCTGGGCTGCATCAAGATCGCTGCCTCTCTAAAGGGCGTATAACGTGGCATCTGCCACAGCAGAATGGAGCAGTGTGAGGAAGGTCCCTTTTCCTCTGTTTTGTGTTTGCCAAGGCCAAACTCCCCCTCTCTGCCCCCTTTAATCCTCTTTCTACAATGAGTCCGCTACGCTCACTGAAAATCATTTTGTGCCACTTACATTTTAGGCTGGGACAAGCAGCCCTGACCTAAGGGAGGATGAGTTGGGCAGTTCTTGATAGCCCGGGGCATCTGCAGGGCTGACCACGTTACTCATCCCGGTTAACATTCGCTCTTTCTCTCTAAAGAGCCTTGTTCATTTCCAAAGCAGTTAAGGAATGGGAACCAGAGTGTTTTAGGACCTGAAGAATCTTTATGACTTTCTCTCTCACTCTTTTTTTTTTTTGTCACTAAGTTAAAAGCAGAGTGAGAGTATTAACGTTTTTGTTCTCCTCCAACCCCCTGTTACAATGAAGGGGCGAAAGTATTTGCTCTTAGTCTATTCCTCCCTTAACTTCTGTGACTAATTTTAATTTCCTTTCTAGATTTGCCCAATTAATACTAGGGTGCAGTGTATCCTGGAGAGGTAGGGTCGGGGGGAGGAATCCCTTGGGGGAGATATTAGGGGTGCTCCGTTGTTTACAAACTCAGGTACCCGCAGGGCTTAGCAAGAGACTTAAATGAGTGACAAGAACCATGAGAAACAAGTTGCTTCCAGGCTTGATTTCGACTTTTCCCTTTTTTTTTGGAGACAGAATCTCACTTTGTCACCAGGCTGGAGTGCAGTGGTGTAATCTCGGCTCACTGCAACCTCCGCCTCCTGGGTTCAAGCGATTCTCCTGCCTCAGCCTCCCAAGTAGCTTGGACTACAGGCGCCCACCATCACGCCTGGCTAATTTTTGTATTTTTAGTAGAGATGGGGTGTCACCGTGCTGGTCAGGATGGTCTCGATCTCTTGACCTCGTGGTCTGCTCACTTGGCCTTGGAAAGTGCTGAATTACAGTTGTGAGCCACTACACCCAGCTGATTTTTCCTTTTTGAGTAAAGGTACTATTACGATGTAAATATTTCTTATACAGAAAGTCACAGCACATGTGCCCATTGATACAAGGCCTCTGAGGCCTGGTCTCCAGTTGGAAATATAATTAAGGGTGACAAGGACTGGAGTAAGTTGGAGAGTGCATAGCGAGTCTGTGAAGACAACTGCTACCTAGCTATGACCAGTCAGTGCCACGTAAGAATGGTGTGGGCCCAGTATTGCCAGATACTGGCAATATTCCAGCCTGGTGACAGAGTGAGACTCTTGTCTCAAAAAAAAAGTTTCATCGTTTACTCCTAGAGAAGCCAAAAATCCAGATTTGTATATGAAATCTTACCATTTTAAAAGATTGGCAGCTAATGATTTTTTTAAAAAGCTGTGCAGTGTGATGTATCCCAAACGGACTGGCTCATGGGTGGCCACTTCACAACCTCTGATCTCAGACCGTGCATGCTTTGTCTTCTTAAGACAACTCCTGTGGCACCATTTCTCCCTCCACAGGGCCAAAGCCATAGAGTCCGGTCCCAAGGAGAAGGCACTTCCAGTGCTAGGAGAGGTATGGACAGCCTCTCACCTGTGAGCTGTGGCTGCCTCAGTCTCAGAGTCCTGTCGGCTGAATGAGGCAGATGGGAAAGAGTTAGCTTCACCAGCAGCTGCTTTTGGAGCAGGGGTCCAAGGAAGAGAGGGTGGCCTCGACATCAAACTGCCTGGATTTTTCTACCACCCTGTTACACCATAACAACTTCTGAACCACACACCAGCCCTGAGTTCTGGGCTCATCTGAAGCCTGGAATAGCAATAAATCTTTTTAACTTGCTGACAGTTTCTCCCTTGCTTTGGTTCCAGATTTCACTGATCACATTTCAAAAGTGTTTTTGGGGTGGGGCTCTTTTGGTTGGAAGGGTTTGTTGGAACGGTACAGGTGAGCCGAGGCGATTCCAGGGACGGACCCTTCTGCTTATGTCGCAGGAGCTTGCTTGTTGTCTCTGCTTCATCGCCATCCTGTTCCCTCGTTTGCTATTTTGCTTTCCATCACATCATGACTGCGGAGAGTGAAAATCACCTGGTGACTATTGAACAGGCCCCAGAGACAAAATCTTTTTATCTGAGGAATTTAAAAGGGAGCAAAGACCACCTGGTGACTATCAAACAGGCCATGCAGAGGCAAAACTCCTTATCTGGGGAAAATAAGAAGTAATTAGACTTTCCTATTATCTAAAGCAGGCATCTGGTTCCAGATTTCTTGTCCCCGAAAAAAACCTTACAAGTAACTAAAATTTCTGGCCGGGTGCCGTGGCTCATGCCTGTAATCCCAACACTTTGGGAGGCCGAGGCGGGTGGATCATGAGGTCAGGAGATCGAGACCATCCTGGTTAACACGGTGAAACCCCGTCTCTACTAAAAATACAAAAAAAAAAAAAAAAAAATTAGCTGGGCATGGTGGCGGGTGCCTGTAGTCCCAGCTACTCTGGAGGCTGAGGCAGGAGAATGGCGTGAACCCGGGAGGTGGAGCTTGCAGTGAGCCGAGATCGCGCCACTGCATTCCAGCCTGGGTGACGGAGACTCTGTCAAAAAAAAAAAAAAAAAAAGTAATTAAAATTTCTGTACATCTCCGGAATGCGATGCTGAAACTGACTGTGCAACCCCAAGGTCCCGCTTTAAGGTCCATAAATATCCCTAAGGAAAAATCCACCATGGTATGCTCAGTCCTCTCACCAGGGTGCCCCACCGCAGTCTTCTATCCCGGCCCACGGGATCGTCACTGCAGGCCCTGGAAGAGGGGGTGGGAATTTGGGGAACAAGAGATACGAGAAATGGAGACAAGACAGTGCTCTGATCAAGTCTCTTTTAATGGCGGTAATGCAGTGCCTTATATACACTTGGAGGGGAAGGGGTTGGGCCAAGGCGAAAATGATCTCATCGCGGAGGGTGTGGCCAGGTAGGTATTGGTAGCGTGGTCGAACGTCATGTGACGCCTGCGCTGTCAGGTAGCAATTTTCACGGGCGCGGGAAAAATGGGTGAAGAAGAAGCAGGAAGAGCGCCATCTTTTATGAGGTATTAATACAGGGGAAAAGGCAAAGATAGGGAGGAGGTGTAAGGTGGAAATGAATAAAGCTCAGGCGTTTTTAATCGTCAATTATTATTCGCTATGGCCGGGGCGTGCAGCTCCGGACAGTCTTCTGCAGCATTCTTCCTTTCTAATACCTTTCCTTTTTCAAACCTATACTGTTGTTGGTGAATTATTTTTACCCACCCACGAGTTGACCAATTCTCAATGCTGGGGCTCTGACACTTCGCCTGGCGATGACCTTCACAGCTGTTTCTCTCTGTTGGATCTTCCAGCCTTATTCTCAACAGTTGCTTTTTAGTTCACATTCTTCACCGAATCTCAGTAGCTCAGTTAATCTTTTTATGTCTGCTCTGCTCTTGAGTCATATGTTCCTTGAAGTTTCTTAGGGGTGGGGGATGAAGAGTTAAAGGTGGCATCTTCAAGCGCAGGTCAAAGCAGACTTTTTAATAAATGGTGCTGAGCCAACTGGAAAGCCACTTGGAGAAAGCTGAGGTTAGACCTGTACTTCACACCATATGCAAGAATGAACTCCAAGTGGATCCAGGATCCAAATGAAAGAAAATGAAGCCATGTAAATACAGAAGGAAACGTGGTGGAAATATCCAGTGGCAACAAAATATTGACACATTTGACTACATAAAGAGAAAAAAAATGCTTGGTAAAAACACAATAAAATCAAATGACTGGGAGAAAAATTTATCCAGCCTATATCACAGACAAATAGTTAGTATTCTTACTATATAAGGAATTAAAAATTAAGGGACAAAGGACCAAAAACTTGATAGAAAAACTGGGAAAAGACATGAGCATACACACTCATGTAAAGATATAAAATGGCTCTTTAAAATGAAATATTCGAACTAACTTGTTAGAGAAATGTAAATTGAGATAATATTGAGATACCATTTATCATCTCAGACTGGTGAAAGAAAGAACAACACATTCTGTTAGGCAAGGCTATAGGGAAACACACTGTCATCACTGTTGGTGGGAATGCAAACTAGTATGACTTTTCTGGAGGGGAATTTGTCAGTACTTAACAAATTGCAGAAGCATTTACCCTTTGACACAACTATTTCCACTGTGGGAATTTCCCTTGAAGATGTACCTCCAACAGTACAAACATACGGATGCACAAGATTACTCATTGCAGCACTGTGACTGCAAATATTGGAAGCAAAGTCATGTTCATATACACGAGAAAGGCTGAGTAAACCATGGCACCATGGCATATCCACATGGAATATTACTGAGCTGTAAAAAAAAAAAAAAAAATGAAGATCTTTATGAATCGGTATAGAGTTATTTTCAAGATACATTAAATGCAAAAAGCAAAGTACAAAAAATAGAATGTGGTACTTTTTATGTAAGAAAGAAGGAGATGTAAGAACATGTATCTGCTTGTTTATGCAAAGTAAATAAGGAAAGATTGGCCAGAAAGTAATGAGCTCTATGGATGGTAGGTGGGTGTAGAGTAGAAAGAAAGGAGAAATCATAATGGTATAAAGGAGGCAGGGATGGAACACTGCCAGGTGTATCTGAGTATATTTTGTTTAACTGTGACTCTTAGAGCCATAGTAATGTTTCTCATGCCCCCCCAAAGTAATTAAAGTCAACCAGGATATGAGGAGAGTTCAAAATGAAATACAAACAGTAACAGATGAACTTAACTGTATTTCAAATGCGTAATACAACCACATTGAAGGAGGTGGGCAAGAAAAATAAGAAGTGATAGCATTTTGATGGGATACTTGAAAAAGAAAAGGAACAGTACACAAATACCGGAGTCTAGTTAGCAAATTTTTCACAGAAGCAAAAATTAGCAATTCAGAAAGTCCTTTACGTGTATGTTAGAATTGGGAAAATAAATATATGATAGGTAACGACAACATGGGGGACATATTGAAAGGACACAGGAAGCAAATTGAACATCCCTCAGTGGCTAAATCTTGGGCAATTTGAGCAATAAAATAATGACAATAATGGGTTATAGTCCACTGACTAAAAATACACTATAGAATCCCATACACAATGGAATCACAAATGTAGAAGGAACGATAGAAATAGAAGAAATGGCTGGGTGCGGTGGCTCACACCTGTAATCCCAGCACTTTGGGAGGCTAAGCCAGGTGGATCATCTGGGGTCAGGAGTTCAAGACCAGCCTGGCCAACATGACGAAACTCCTGTCTCTACTAAAAATACACAAAATTAGCCAGGTGTGGTGGTGCGCGCCTGTAATCCCAGCTACTCCAGAGGAAGGAGAATCACTTGAACTTGGGAGGTGGAGGTTGCAGTGAGCCGAGACCATGCCGCTGACCTCTAGCCTGGGCGACAGAGTGAGACTCCATCTCAAAAACAAACAAAAAAACACCATTAGGCAAACACCCTAGGAATGGTTGTTGCAGACAAACACCTATGAATGCCGAATTAGTGAATAGAAGTATGATGGGAAACAGGATTTTGCATGATTTTAAGATCTCTTCACAAGGTACTAATTGCAAAGGGAAAAACAGTCACCATAGTGAAGAAACCTGACAGAAACCACCTTAACCAAGTGACCAAGTTAACATCACCACTAATAAGGCATACTGATACCACATACCTTCCAGTATGATGCACTGAGAAGGGCACAATGTCACTTCTGCGGAATTGTCGGAAATGTGCAGTCTCAGTGCAATCATGAGAAAAGATCAGACAAGCCCAAACTGAGAGACACTCTACAAAATAATTGGCCAGTACGTTTTGAAAGTGCCAAGGCCGTGAACAATAAGGAAAGACTGAGGAACAGTCATGAACTAGAAGAGAATAAAGAAATATGATAACTAAATGCATTGTGAGATTCCCGATTTGGATGCTGGATTAGAAAAAGAACCAGAAATAGGATTTCATCAATGTCAGTTATTTGGTTTTGATCATTGTACTGTGGTTATGTAAGATGTTAACATTAGTAAGAGCTGGGTGAAGGATACATGGAAACTATTATTTTTGCCACCCTTTGAAAGTCGAATGTTTTTCAAAATAAAAAGTTTTAAAGATATATTGCTGAAGTTTTCATTTTGAGAAACAAAAAATATGAACCTTGCATTAGTCAGGGTTCTGTAGAGGGACAGAACTAATGGAACTAACAAAAATATATATAAAGAGGAGTTTATTAACTCACTTGATCACAAGGTCCTACGATAGGCCATCTGCAGGCTGAAGAGCAAGGACAGCCTGCCCGAGTTCTAAAACTGAAGAGCTTGGAGTTTGATGTTTGAGGGCAGGAAGCATTCAGCACGGGAGAAAGACGTAGGCCGGGAGGCTAGGCCAGTCTCTCTTTTCACATTTTTCTACCTGCTTTATATTCTGGCCACGCTGGCAGCTGATTAGACTGTGCCCGCCCAGATTGAGAGTGGGTCTGCCTTTCCCAGCCCGCTGACTCAAACGTTAATCTCCTTTGGCAACCGCCTCACAGACATACCCAGGATCAATACTTTGTATCCAATCACGTTGACACTCAGTATTAACCATCACAAACCTGCTGTCATGTAACTGCAGTACAGGAGAAGGGGGTGAACATTTATGCAGAATCTGGGTTAGTGGCTGAGGTCAGAAAGGGTTTTCCTGAGGAAGTGATAGCTGAGATCTGGAAAATGAGGAGGAATTAAGCCGGTGAAGAGAGGGGAGAAGAGCGTAGATGGAGGCCCAGCAGCAATGGGAAGCATGGTGCATTTGGGAACTGGACAAAGGCTGGCTGGTGTGGCTGGAAGGAAAGGGTGTAACTGGGGCAAGAAGAAACTGGAAAGGTGGGGAGAAGCCTTTTGGTTCACCTATGTCTCCCTGACCAGGAAGCCAGCTTCCTAAGTTTGAGTCCACCTGAGAATGTTCCTTTGAGAGAGTCTATCTTGCCAAATAAATTTCACTTCCAATTGGGGTTGGCATGCCAGGGAGATGTTCTGCCCCCCAGCCCCTTTTTCTTCCTGTTTGAACTCAGATCTGGGAATTGCTGAAGGAGCTCCTTTGTGGGTTTGAGTCAGGCACAGCGTGGGCATGGCGGATAACAAGACTTGTAGATCCTTAGAGAGCTGCCTGTCAGTTCCATTCCCAGGCCACTGTGGCTTATAAACCACTGCACTTATGCACTGACTTATATCACCTGGTAGCCAACTCTTAACTCTTAATGCTTCACCTTCACGTGGGTGACTTCCCCAGCCCAGCACATGCAGGGCTTATGTGCTTAGCAATCTCAGTTTGTGCTCCTTAGCAATCTCAACTCTCCCATTTTTTTCCAATGGCCTTGTTTTTCATTTTTTTTGAGACAGAGTCTCACTCTTGTTGACTAGGTTGGAGTGCAATGGCATGATCTTGGCTCACTGCACCCTTTGCCTCCCAGGTTCAAGCGATTCTCCTGCCTAAGCCTCCCGAGTAGCTGGGATTATAGGTGCCTCCCACCATGCCTGGCTAATTTTTGTATTTTTAGTAGAGACGGTGTTTCACCATGTTGGCTAGGCTGGTCTCGAACTCCTGACCTCAGGTGATCCACCCACCTCAGCCTCCCAAAGTGCTGGGACTACAGGTGTGAGCCACTGTGCCTGGCCTCCAATGGCCTTGTTGAAGATCTGAATTCAGCTTCTTCTTAAACTGATTGATTTTACGTATCATTCCCTTTATGCCCCAACCATTGTCCAGCTCAGTCATGTTGAGATAAATCACCGTTGTCCAGTAGAGAAGTGCAGTGGGAATTGATTCCGAAGGTCCCGGGGGACCTTCCCACATTCTTTGTATCCTTCTAGATCTCTCTGTTCCAACTCTTAGGTCCCAGTTTTTGCCAAAGAAGCATGTGGCAGCAGAGAATCCCGCCTATGTTGCAGAACTAGAATGACCAGTTTGGGTCCTATCGGTGCTGACTGCCATCAGAAAGTGTTTTCTGTACCAGTTACATGGTGACCTCTTATCTGATAGCTTACCTCCCTTATCTGATTTTTGTATATTGCTCTATTCTGCATCCAGACCTTTGTTCCAGGCTTGGCTATCTATCATCTGTAGATCGTATCATGTATGAGAAGCAGAAATCCTTGCATTCCCTTTTTTTCCCAGAGGTTCTTTTGCAACCCAGGGTCTACATACTTCATGAGGTTTGTGATTGTTTCGGAAACTGCATGCAAAACTTATGCATATATGTGAATTTTATAGAAGGAGGAGCCACAGCTTTTATTGGAATGTTGATGGGCTGCACGAGTCCCTGAAAGTCATAAACCACTGCCTTACCTCCATTTAATTGCTCCATATTCTACAGTAAGGTTTCCATATGTTTCTCAAAGCCTTTCCTTCTCCAAGTTCATGGTCTGGATCCCAAAAGAGCACAGACTTTATCTTGGCTGATAGCTTTCTATCTAGTGGTAGGATATTCTTCACTGCCTCTCCTTCATGATAACACAGCTACCTCACATCTCCTCTGAGAGGCTGTTGTTTGGCCTCTGACCATTGGTGAATGGACGATATGTTACAAAGGGGGAATGCTGCTAACTCCAGCTGAAATGCCTGTTATGCAGGTCATAATATCAATCATCTAATAGAAGGTGAAGTTGAAAATTGATACTCTACAAATATTCATTATGCTGTGGAGTTATACTTTCATTGGTGTTACAGTTTACAATGAAAAGCTTTTAGAAGGTGGCATTTCTACTAGAGTGAA